TTTTGATCGCTATCGAATGCAATTTAACATCTGTACGTAAGGACAGAATAAAGATTCTTTTTTACCAAACGAATTATAAAACTGACTTAAAATGGATTCAGAAGAGATTGTTTCGTGGCGTCTGTACGTACATACGTATGTATGTGTTTTAAGTTCTAAAACTTGAATAAAAGTGTTTTTTTATATTTATAAACTAAAACTGAATTCTTAACAGGTAAAGGAAAAATAGACTCCATTCCTACTCCGAAAATATGAAATCCTTACCAGTGGGGAATTCCTCTTGGTTGAGAATCCCTCAGTTAATCAATCCTTAAACTGTATTGTTTGTGATATAATGAACCTGAAAGTGATATATCTGCAAACGATGTGATGACCTGCAGAACGGATTTTTCCTCCCTCCTCCTTCTGCATGAGACCAAAACATATTTTTTAAATAAATATCACTTAAGAAAGTCTGTTTTAACTGAGTGTTTGTTTTATTATCAGCGAAAATTTCAAATCTTCAAAATCACAGGTGTCAAATAGAAGAAAAAATTCTACTGATTTTCTAAAATTCACCAAACCTTCAGAAACAAAATATTACAATTTACATGCAAGTTTCATTTTAAAGCTCTTCTTGAGCTCTTTGATGGCACAAACCGTAACGGCCAATTAAGTTATACATATTTTTTCTGCACTTCATTCAAACTTATTCCAACGAATTTCATTAGAGATACAATTCTCATTCAATCAATTTAGTTATCAATTCGAGGGAAGGCAAAAATACATAGAAAATCAAAACACCTTTGTTAAAAATTGAAAATAAATAAAAACCTAAAATACAATTAAAAGCAGTTAAAAACAGATTTTGCAATTAAAATTAAAGCTTCTACGCCAAGGCAAGCACTTCGACCAACAGGCAGAAAAAAACATTTTCGGTGCACAAAAGTTAACTTTTGGCCCCACTGGACAGAAAGACACTGAAAGTTGGTGCACCAAGTGGGACTTAATTTACTATAATATTAAGAGTTTCAAATGGAAACAAACAAGTGCCACTCACGCTTTAAACTAAGGACATGACCTTCACAGATTGATAATATTAAAGGTAAGTGTGAGTTTTTGGGGGAGGTCAAGACAAATTTTATTTAAATGATGTTCTAGGTATTGAAATAAAAATTTTTGAAAATATTGGTATTTCTAATGTCACTGTAAATTCTGGAAATGTAGGTCGTGTTCCTGCTTCTAATAGCACTCTAGTTTCTAACTGCTATAATTAATATAAGTTGGTTAACTCTGCTGATGTTAAGAATGTTGATTAAGTTTCCGTGGTTAATAAAGGTATCGTAGATATTAATACTGGCTCTAAAAGATGTTATGATGGTAGTAAGATTACTAAGATAAAAAAATCTGATGTGTACACCACATGACTTCCTTGTATTGGAATATTAAATTATACGCATTTTTTCTTGCATTTCATTTAAACTTATTGGATTGAATTCAATCTACTTCGCCGACAGCGCATAAACCACAATAGAATAAATGCATTCTTTAAAATTCACTCTAGTATTTGTTTACCATAGCGACACTCTGGCGCTAGATTCACTTAACAGTATTAATAATTATATAACAGTTAACGTATATAATAATTTTATAACTGAAACTAAGTGAACTGTTATATAATCCAATAATTATATAACAGTTAACTATTATATTTCGTTCCATATTAACTCATAATGCAAAAAATTTATATCATTTAACGAATAAATCTACTCGTTGCTACATGTTCTTCAAATACTAATAAAGCTAGAATGATGTATAAAAGAAAATTAAGCAAACAAAACAAAAAAAGAAACGTTTTTCACAGACGATTGAGTATTTCTCATTTAATTAATTCAGTTCTTACTTCGCGAGAAGGCAAAATACATAAAAACTCAAAAATCTATATTAAAATTACGAAGTAAATCTCAAAACGCTTATTTCCTCGAAAAAATTCCAGAAAGGATTAAGCATGATTTAATTCGCAATAATAAATGAAGGCGTTTATCTTTGTTGTTGCGAAGCTAAGTTTCTCTAGATGGCAAACAAATTCACTAGTCTCCTGTTTCAAATGTAAACATCAATGGCCGCCATTTAAAAAAGGGCTTAGTGGCAATTAAACAACTTTAAATTGCTGGATTAATTCTAAAAAATATGCCACACAGATTTACTAAAGGCATAAAATCTTTAACCGGAAGATAAAAAAAACATAATTCAATCATTTTTAAAGCAAAAAAATGTACAATTTACCAACATATAAGAGTAAAGAAACTGAGATCACTGAGCCGGGTAACAGAGTGGGTATATATATAAATATATTTATATACGTTTGGTGCGGCCGATTGCAACCAAAATACGAGGTGCACATCTACATGTTATAGCAGACCTATACACAAAATTTCAACGTTCTGAGGCTACTCGTTTTTGAGTTATGCGAGATACGTACATACGTTCGTACAGACGCCACGAAATATTCTCTTCAGAATTAATTTTAAAGCAGTTTTATAATTTTTTTGAAGGAAAAGAGTATTTTATTCTATCCTTACGTACAGATATCACGCAAAAACATCGTTAAATTGCATTCGATAGCGGTCAAAATGGATATTTTCGTTGAAATATGCTGCCTGAAACTTTTCGCGATTACAATACTTCCTTTTTACTTCGTACAAGGAAGTAAAAAAAAGCTTCGCAAGGTAAAGACGGTTTTACCTCCCAAAGGAGAATCGCCCACCTCAAACAACTGAATAAAATCCTTCTAGATGTAGCTGTTAGCAATCAATTCGAAGTACTAAAAGATGTTTTTAAGGAAAATTCTCAGGTTTTCGATAATATTATGGAGCAAATCTCTGTACCGCGATGTGTTGAGGCTACTGAAATTCAGATTAAACTAACTGTAGTTATTCCTGCTTGGAAATTCAATAAGTTTGTTAAGTAAGTTAGCTGAAGAAACCTCAGACATTTTCACATCAAAAATTGCAAAAATATTAGTAAGAATTCCACCTAGGGGTGAAGATTTCACAGGACAATTACACGATAGACAAGTGAGAAAAAAGTTCAGCATTGTTTTGTACACATCAAAAAGGTTTTACCACTTAAACTTGTACTTAGAGGCTTACCCACAAATTGTGCTGTCGACGAAATTAAAGAGGAACTCATTCGAGAAGAATTGAATAATATTAAAGTTGCACAAATAATCAAATTCAAAACTCGTGCTCCTATGCTATGTTTCACTTACAATGAGTAAACGAGCTTGGTACTTAAAAAACCCAGGAAGTAGAAAATTAAATGTCCTTCTCTATCTTCGTGGAGACGTACAATTGAAGGCTGGTGTGGTTCAGTGCCAAAGTATATAGTTTCCATTCATCGGACGAATGCAAACTTGCCCCGGCGCAGAGTTGTTTGCGGGGTAGAAGCTAGGATAAGGAATGACGTCATTGGTTTTCAAAGAGTATTTACGCCAAGTATGATGCATAAGTACAACTAATCTCTGACTGGTTAGTTTTAGGCTGTTATGCAATAAGGAATGATCTAGAACAGAGGTTCTCAACCGGTGGTACGCAAGAGAAAAATAGGTGGTACCCAAAGAAGTAAAGTATTTTTAACTATTGAATTCAAATATTAAAGCCCCGACATTCTGACTGAGTGTTTTCTCTAACACTCGTAAGTTTATGCGACTAGTAATACTTTGTAATGGTGGTACATTTTAAATTTTTATTTAGATGGTACTCGTTGGTCAAATGATTGCGAACTGCTGATCTAGAACTTAGAAGAGCAGATGAATTTAGGAGGGAGAATATAAAATCTAGAATAGTTAATTTTGAGGTCGCCAATCGTCTCTTAAAGCAGCAATCGTATTTTGTTATATCATACATATTTAAAATGCTATATATACTCACTTTCACAGTATTTTAACCAGAAATATATCGTTACTAGTGGATTGTCTCTGAGTTTTATGCAAAAGTTGTTTTATGAGCTACGTCTAATGTTTATAGAAATTATTTGACTAAAGCTACACTCCTAATTGTCAAAAGTTTGTTTTAAATGTTTGACTATAGTGAAAAGCAGGAAGTTTAGTGTGACTTAATCCTTTATTTGGTGACATTTTTCATTCACTTGGTTATTATGTGTAATTTATTTTGACTTTGTGATTTTCTCATCTACAGCTGCGCTAGCCGTCACGTTGTTTTTCAATTCTGTGGCGGCCGTCACATTGTTTTTCGATTCATCGCATTGCTTCGCGGGATAATTTCTGACAACACACTTCCTTTACCATCAGTTCTCGTTCGAGCATCGTATAGTGACTTCCGTGTTTTTATGAAAAACCTGTGTTATGAACGCTGACTGTTTTGGCAACGTAGAGTCATATCTTGTACGAATCAACACCGAGCTACATCAGAAACTCTTACAACCTTATTTGGAAAATTTCCTTCGGTTTGAAAAATTTATTCTATAAAATTTTTTTCACAATAAGCAATGTATTTATAGTCATTTAGAATTTTTGCGTAGTCAGGAAACTGAAAAATGGCCGCAATGCTCTTGCTCGGATTCGAACTCCTAACCTCCTGAATACACGTTGAGTGTGCTTCCAGTTACGCAACGGAGAAATGCCGGAAGAAAGGAGAAAACGCCTAATATATTTTTCATGTTCTTGTATACTAATGGGACAGATATCGACAGTTAATTAGCAATATCCGTATGATAATATTAACCGGGAACACATAAAGCAGCATCTACTGTAATGCAAGATTCGAATCCACCTTTATTTTCTGGAATTATAACAATCACGTATTTTGACATCTCTGATGCTGCTTTGCATCGTCTTTAATCTTTCAAAATTATATTCGTATTCGGGAAATTTTAATTAAGCTACAATTGTTAGGTGAACATGCCATTCTGAAAACTTCAGTGAATCTTTAGTATGATTTAGAAGTGCAAGTAATTTGCAAACAAAGGTCACTGTAAGTAACTTCTATACTTTGCTTTAGCTTTTTCAGAATCCAGTAAACCATTGCACCCCAGTTTGCCATGAAAGTGATGTTGACCGTCCTGTATCTTACCATCGGGATTAACGGATTGCCTTTGGTGATGAGCACCTGCATGGATGACCTCAGTTCTTTCACAGTAGAAGACATGGAGAAGATAGCATACGCTGTTGCCAACGCGAAAGGCATATCCCCAATTGTCCTGCTCAAAGGAATACTCCGGAAAGCGAAAAAATTGGAAAGAGTAAGTGTATTGAAAACTAATTATTCAGTGTTCGTACATGAATATGCAACCATTAGATTCGAAGGATAACGCCTAATGTAGACAAGGAGCTCTTATGCAGGGCACCTCTTATAATTGCTTCTAAAGTAGTACATAACACTGAATGAATTATCTTATATTAGAGAGAATAATATATGCAGCGTGGATGCCGCATTCTTCTGATCAATGTTATTAATACTGAATAATGTTTAACAATGCTTTTATCTGAAACACTGTGTACAGTCAAATTTTTGATTTATTCCTGATTTTTTTTGGTAAGTTTAGCTAATTTTATTACTCATTCTCGCGCAAAGTTAGGGGTTTGTTGTAAAATAAAACAAAGACTAACGTGATGTCGACACCACGTAACTTCCTGGTACAGCCTATTAAATTATACACATTTTTGGCTGCATTTTATTTAAACTTATTTCCACGAATTTCATTAGAGATATATTATTCATTCAATTAATTCAGTTCTCTATTTGCGGTAAGGCAAAAATGTATCTTCGTTAAAATATGTAAAACACCAAATAGAGTTTAGTAAAAAAAAATGTTTTGCAATTAAAATTAGACTTTCTACCAAAAAACAAGCAATTTGGCCAGCGGTCAGGAAGACAGATTTTCGGTGCATAAAATTGAATGTATACTTTTGATCCCATTCTGCAGAAAGACACTAAAATTGGTGCACCAACTGACTTAACTCACTATTCCACTATTCTACATTCTAGAGTTTCAAATGTAAGCAAATGGCAGCCTCGTTAAACTTAACACCATTTAAATTTTTAAGTTGTTAGGATGAACAGCATTTATACTTTTAAGTTATTCCAATGCAATATATGCAGCGTTATAAGGCTACTCATTTTTGAGTTTTGCGAGGTACATACATACTTATGCGCGTGCATACAAACGTCAGGAAAAGTCTCTTCTGAAACCATTTTAAATCCATTTTGTAATACGTTTTGGATGAGAGTCCTTTATCCCGTCGGTACGTAGAGATGTCCAGCAAAAACATCGCTCAAATGTATTCAAGAGTGGTAAAATGGATACTTTCGTTGAAATATGATACCCGAAATTTTTCGCGATTACAATACTTCGTTTACTTCGTACAAGGAAGTAATAAATAATCCACCTAAGTTTAATCTCTATTTAATATTATTTATATATAATTTTAATTCGTTGAATCAACGTTTAATCTTATCGCCGAATCTGAAAAAGTGTATGCAACTTTACAGATGGATTTATTCTCCACTTTTTAGTTCTTCCTTTATCATTCCAATGCAATTCATGTCGTAGAGAGATTCAAACGTTCGCATTTTCGATTCCATAGAGAGTATGGATCTTAACAGTGTAAAATATTCCATTAAATAATATAAAAATTCAAGATTTTCTAATTTAAAATTATTTAAACAAAGATAGTTTCATCTTTTATTGCTAAATTCATAAAAATAGACATTCTTTCTAAATGGTAACTTTTGTTTATCCCTATGCAGTTTATCTAATTTAAAAAATTCAAATTATTTTTAAAGATCATCATCAAGTTTGCATTGTAGGCATTTAGATAGTTTTAATCTGTGGTATTTCATTTTGAAGTGATGAAAAAGGTGAAAGAAAAATTTAAGGAGTAGGACTCATGAGAAGCAGTTCAATGAAAAAATATTTTCGTAAATATGACAGGAATTATTTGAAATTTCTATTTACTGGCTGTGGTATTTCTATTTACGACACACTGAGTAAACCCTCAGTGTGTCGTATGTTACGAATTGCTTACAAACGAATGCAAGAGACGCGTGAAATTTAAAAGGCATGTGGAGATGAAACACGCAGATGTAAAATGTAAACTTGTCGAATCTTCCCAACGAAATGTTGAAGAACTGAATAAAGAAATGAAAGTTGTTTCTATCCCAAGGTCTGCTCATTTCTTCTGAGTTGAACCTTTACTATAATTTCTTCATTTCGTAGTTCCCACCAGACTGCCAATTAATTATTTTGTTGTTATTGTTGTTGTCTTATTCCATATGATCTAGCTGCAGGCTAGACCAAGGCCAAAAATCTTCGCAAAATCGTAAACAAGAAGAAGACTGATAAAAAGGTCAATCTTATCAAGACCTGCAGATGAATTATTTTGCATTTAAGCCAATGGTTTCAATGTTTAGAGTTAGAAATACTGGCAGCCTTTGCAGTTACGGATTATCGCCAGCTCTACCAAATTTATTCTGGCTTTAGCATCTTGTTAGCCAATGTTTAAAGTTATGCACCGGTATTTATTTTGAGCCAACATAAGTACCTTATTCTGCGTGTAGTCACAGACTAGGCTACACTAGAATTTAACTTTCTATTATGTTGATTTAAAACCCCCAAGCAGCGCAGGTTTGCCTGTCGCACAAATAGTGCTTTCGTTTCACTTAGGAGCTTCTTATTTAAGATTTGGTCATTTGTTCTCGACTAGAGCGATACCCCGCTTCCAGTCTAGAAGGATTTTCAGAACATTGACACAAGCTTAGAGACATTGCGGAATCCTACAACGTCATTCTATAGGTGAGACGATAATATATACAGTTATAAAAGATATGGTTAAAACGGCTAGTGAAAAATGATCTAAATATCTAAGTATCTAAAGACACTGACTTAATACCACTCTCAAAAGATATTCTTATATGCTGAACCGATAACATGGCTAATAACATGTAGCTTGGATTTACCAGTAAAATAATAAATAATTTATTTCATTAACCTGTCGTTTGTAGCATTTTGCTCTCTGTAAGTTTCGTTTTTGTTTAACTAATTATACATGATTAGATGTTTGGCGTTTTTAAAAACCTCTAATAGCTATTTGTTTACAGTTATATCGTGTAAATTTTTTCTTATGCATTACAGGTTTACCCACAGCATTCAGTTCCTTATTTTTGTTCTTCTATTTTCATACAAATTACTCATGTACGTAACTTACCTCAGCTCCATCTTTATATTACCATTGTATATCCTAACATTATTAACCTGATTTCTCTCTACAGCATTTGCACAATGTGACAACGTGAAAATATTGTATTGCTGTATTGCTATTCTAACCCCTTCGAGCCGGGTAGCGAAAACGCGCGCTTATCGCGGAGGCCGGCAGTGTCTTCCGCGAGCGTCTCTCCAGGGCCGGGGGGGGGGCTTTTTTGCTACTAAGCCTAAATCTATGAAATTTCCGAAGTATCAACGCATTGTTTAATAATGCTCTATAGAGTATTTAAACGGCTTATGCTTTATATATATATACTTTAATTACCTTATTTCTTGTTTAAATGCATATTTTACACATTTTATTTTAATTACTCACCATTTTATGACTTTTAACATTATAATCTGAAAACTAAATATATTACTTTTTAAAATTTTCTTTTCGTATGAAAAATTTTAAAACAGGGATCTACACACAGTCCTACGTTTACATTCCTTGAATTCGTAATAACTCATTTGCCATTTTGGAGGATTTTTCCGGGAATGTGAACAAACGAAGCATCGTCGTCTCATTTTCTTATCAGTCTCTTCTGAAACAAAGTTTTGGAAAATGTCTTTCAGTTAATCTTTCAGAATCAATATCAGAATTTCAGAATCAATATCTGAATATTTTGCATCATTTCTGCTATTTCATGCTCTGCTTTAAACATTTTCGACGCTTCGACATTGAAACGGTAAAAACAGAAAAAACAGAAAGAATTCACGTCTAACAAGATCTAATTATTTTCTAAAAACTGAACTGTAAACCGAAATACTCAACGCTTTAGCGTATATAAAACTTCTACTTACAATAAACAACTACCACGTGCGAATAAAGTGCGATTTAAAGAGACGTCATAAATCACGCCATTCGGAAACATTTAGTTCCCCGTTTGTTTATATATTCAAAAACACGTGTATGTGAGTCATGCTTCTCTCATTTCAAGTAGAAGGTCTAATGCACATGTATCTGAAACCATATGGATATACAGTGCCATCTTGTGGCAGAAATTATAGTTTGAAAAATGTTCCAAGGTACTGGCACAAATACGTGACAGTCGGTAGAGAATGCAACAATGCTCTGGCACGCCTGCGTGTCGGCCGGTAGATAAGTGTGTTCGTTGCTGGCAGTCGGCGCGAAGGGGCTAAACTCTTGTTGACTTTCTCAAAGACTAACATCTGTGACTATATTTCTTCTTTTCTACGCTTTGGCTGGGTTCCACAGATAAGTAAATTCAATTTACTGGCAGATGTTAAGCACAAAGCTTCGTGTATAGCAACAGTTTATTCAGTTACAAACTACTACACTAATGCTTAAAATTTAATAATAATATACAGAAACCGGTGTTAATAGAAAAATACAGAAGAAAATGCAGTGTATTTTCGGGGAAAGGGACAGAACAAATTTAAAAAATTATAATTGTCCAAAATAATTAGAAATTTGTGCTGCATCGTTTAGAATCACTAGGCCTACCTAGCTGCAGAAAAATTGAAAAATCTGAGATACTTTCACCGGGATTCAAACACCATACCTTTCTACTCCTAGCCGAACGTGTTTCCAATTACACCTCCAAGGCATGTGGCAGGGAAGGAGAAAATTCCTTGCGACCTACAACTGATATACAGCAATTGGAGATTAATATCCTTTGAAACCATTCTTGTGGAATTAATTATTATATATTTAAAAACGCAAATCTGAACTCCCGCAGTATCTTTGAGAAGGTTTATTTCTATAAATCATAATTCTAAAGTGTGCAATCACGTTTAGAGGATTCAGGTCTAGTATGTATGCCAACGTATTCGAACCATAATCTTGTGTATTCAGTAAAAAGAGAGAAAGCCGTCGTAGAGGGCTTCACTCACATCCAAGTGAATCTCCAAAAACACTCATGCAACCAGCGTGTTCACCAGAATTCGAAACCAGATCAAACAACCAGTGCTCAGCGGCTTTACCGCTCGGCCATTGTCGAGTGCTCACGTATTTATCTCCCCCTTTTTTTACTAGTTTTCTCGTCCGAGATTCAAGAAGGGAAAATTATGCAAAAAATTTAATCTCCGGTTACAGTAAAACCATAACAAATGAAACTTCGTCATAGAGAAATTAAAGGTAACTATCGTAATACAATTCCTTTAAAAGAAACCTACATTCCAGTCAGATAATAACATTAAAAGATATAATAATATATCTTCATTTCTACTTCTCTATCACGCGAATCTCGCCTGCTTTTATTATAGTCTCTGCTACTCCTTAGGCCTCAAATCATCCATAAATTAAGTACAAATGTTTAGGGGGATGCCGATTCGGAGAATTGTATGCTCATGTTTGCTTCATTGGTGATGAGTTGGTTCTTGCATTAGGATGGCATAATATTCAACTGTTAGAAAGGAAAGATTTTGGAATGGCCTTCGTAGGAAATTTGCAGGATATGTGCTTCTTAGCAAGACGAAAACAGTTACTGTGTGGATGAAATAGTTTTAAAATTCAGGGTGCTCGATCTCTGGAAGCACAGAAAAAGGGGAAATTTGAGCGCTTTTAGCATTTTCAGAAAATGGCGCTGAAAAACTAGGGAGAATATATACGAGCAAATACGGTATATTTCTACTTAGCGTATTTAAATTAGGGATAATTTCTTATGTTGCTTATTTTTATGTTAAATGTTATTTACTTATTGTTCGGTGCAATAAACAAAAACCAAATACCATTCGTTTCAGGTAAAATCCAGAACTTCCCTCCAAGAGATGGCACTCCAAGAACTTATTAATTCCAGATCTCGTCCGCCTAGTCCTGGTATGGTAAACATTCGTCCAATCATTCCCTCAGAACAGCCACTATCACCTTCACGGCCATTATCTCCACCAATGGTTCAAAACAGCATGTTTGCTGGGGTATTCTTTCCTCAAGGCCTGCCGCCACACGCAATGCAAAGCCCGCAGCCATGTCCGCCACCACTTTTAATCCCAATACACACTCGTCCTCCGGTAAGCCTGTTCAAATTATAGTTAGTTAGTTGTTATTAACTTTATATTATGATTTTAATCGCGAAAGATACCTTAACCATATATGCATGATTTAGAACTGCATTCTTTAACTTCCTCAAGAAACGAGCATCATTTCATAGATCCAACCATTTGGTTACTTCCACAACATGCCCATACATACCTTCAACAGACGTAAAAATTTTAAGTTCTTCCGCAGCGCAACATAAGAAGGAACTCCATAATTCCGGTACTCTTGCTTCCAGAAGTTTAGCTGCTGACGACTTCGCTACTGTGCATATACCAAGGAGATTTGACCAAAATTTTAGCCATAAAATTATTCGAGGACTCTCGAAATTCCTCTGCAAAATTTTGGAGACTGCTAAATTATATTCTGAAGCCAGTTCCCTCCTGAAAAGATTTCAATATTCACTCGATGTACTGAAAATCTTAGAAAATGAGATGTAGTTTTCTGAATTTTGATTTCCAAGGTGATGTTTGATGTAGTAAATTCACCTGACCTCTCACTACAAATTCTACGATCACCAAGCACTTCTTGGACTTTTCTCAAACCTTCAGCACATGGAACTACTTGCATAGCTCTGTTGATTCTAAATTATTTTCTTTTCAACAGGATTTGCTTCGATTTACATGTTTTTACGACACGTTTAAAGCAGAATTCCTTATTCGAAGCTTCACGATGCTAACACTGCCTTCCAGTGCAGATAATGACTAAGATGCAAGTCACCTTAGTTCTTTTTTTCTCCTTAGATTCTTCTCATACAGAGATCTTCACCATTTGGACTCACCATTCGCCAGGCATTATATGGGATTCACTGAGGCTCTCGTAAAAACATGAAAATCTCCCTTGCTGACAACAAAAAGTATCAAAGTATCGAACAGATCGGAAGTGTCACAGATCGAAACTCACACTGAAATTTTTGCTTAAAGTAGGCTTAGCAAGGTATACTTATAATACAAGCGATTCATCTGTTCTTCCATCGGCATCTGTGTTGAAATGGATTCAGTTTTTCAATCCAATACATTCTGCTCTTGAAGGCATTTAACAGTCAGAGAAGAATATCAAAAAAAGTCTTAAGATACAGGATGCCCCAGCAAGAAGTGATGAAAAAGAATTAACACATACATCCAAAATTAAACCTTTTTTTTTCGTATTGTGACTTAAAAAATAATTGGAAAGAAGAAAAGTATTTGGAATAAACGTCTCTGAAGCGCCACGGTAGCTCTTGTTATGCGTAGACCAGGGATTCCTAAACTTTTCTTGCATTGACCCCTTTTTAAAGGATTAGCTTTCTTCATCGACCCTTCATTGACTCATTTTTCTTAATAATATGCAGTAAACAGCATCATCATAATAAATGTAATATTATAAAATAACTTAAATATAGCAATTAGATTAAGAATATGAGCAAAAGGTTTTGAAAAACGCTTTATTATATTTATGTTTAATTATTTTTTCTATTATTATGATATTTAATTTTACAAATATAAGCAAGTTTTCAGAAATAAAATCCCGGATTCTATTTGCATAAAAGTACGGTTTTAATATATTTGATGGATCAACTTTTATCGATACAAGTTTTCAACATTTGACATCAAACCCCTTAATTTGACTTTTAAATAATTTCATTCAAATACATTCAACCTGTTTCTTATTTTCTATTTTAGTTTTGCTTTCTTCGCATTTTTTCTAGTGTTCTATTGTGTTCCTGCGTTTTATATTTGTATTCTCCATTTGCTGCATGCAAAATGTATACCTTTTAAAAAATCAGTTAATAGTTTAAAAAATATATTAACTAATTTTGGTGTATTTTTTCTTTAATATTATATGGTTTTATATCATTTTTTTCCTTACTACACGACGCTGTTGGAATAAATTAGTGTCACTTTTGCGTAGTGAAACTCGGCAACGTCAAAAAATGAGCACCAAAGGATATGTTGGCGAGAGAAGATTCTACCTCCGTTTTGATGACGAAGCCTTAATGGAATATACTTCTGATAATATTGCGTAATAGAAACCTGAGGACATTTAAAAACTTTAAAATGAGTCTCTTGTTATTTATTTTCTCAATACATTGTGAAGATTGTTAACTTTGATTTATGTTCTATTTGAGGTAAGCAAACCCTCTTATTGGCTAATAAATATTTCGTAGTTACTCTAACTTATGGTATTTTAATAAAACTGTGCTATATAGAGTATAGTGTACTTAATGCCTTAACTGTGTTAAATGCTCGACATATCAGATAGAGCTTTATATCGATAAAAATTAATTAGGAAATATGTTAATTAATTTTTGTAATCAACCCGATCTTGCTGATGCCGATTTTTTGCCGGTGCATATTCGGCTGTCTATCACCAAACTGACTCTTGATCATCACAAAAATGTAATACGCCAAAATGTTGGTGAATGATTTAGATATATGTATTTTGATTACTTTTCTGCACTTCTCCCACAATAATCCTCAGTAAGGAGAACATTAAAATTTGATTCTAGTGTGCCTGAATAACAAAATTGGATAAAAGATAAATGTTTACCTACCCATGTATGACCCCACCCGGCAGTTTTATATAACACTAGCTAGAATCTCCACCTTAACTGTCTAGGCATAAAAAAGTCTGGCAGTTCCAGTATCCCGAGGGAAGATCGTCCTATACTGTTGAACTAATTGGAGACTGGCGTTAAGTACCCAAACTAGGGTCTCAGCAAAGGAATAACGCCTGTGCCATTGTGCTTACAGGGCCACACTCCTCATAAAGTTCCAAATCCGGAAGTGGTGACCCCGTAGATCCGGACCGAGTGGCGGATTCAGGAGAATACAAAACATCTATTGCCCGGTATGCATGGGGACTGGGCCTTCAGCAGTCGTGACCTATACTCCATCTCCTAGGTGGCGTTTTGCCTGGATCCTGCCTCCCACCTAATAAGGAGGTTTTCCAGAGCGATCTAGGTCGTGTAGTGACTAATAAATCAGAGCACGTACACAAGTGTTATTATTACCCATGTATAGTACAAAAAATAACTCGTAGTATCTTCACCTGTGAAACACGTATTTATTCACAACATTCAAGTTATCGTATAAAATTAGATATATACTGAGTCACAGGAACCAAAATAACGTCAGTTACATAATGACATTCTGTTTAAGAACACAGAAAGTAAAGTCTTTGTTAACTTACCTTCATAGCCTTCGTGACCTTCATGATAAGTCTTTGTTAACTTACTTCATGATCATTATAAATATATTTATTTAATTTATATCATGCTCATAATAAAATGACTTTTTAAACTTTCTTTACAAAGCCTGATGTGACTATACGTGTCCTGGGAACCAGAACGATACCAGAGGTGAAGGTTACACTTTCTCCAATGATGACCATTATGGAAGCCCTAAAACAAGCAGAAAGCCAATTTAAACTCTTCCTAGGACCACTCGAATCAGACGGAGATATCATTTCATTCAGTTCCTCACCAATTTATCGCTGTCTTATCATCAGACGATTCGAAAATGTCCGATCAAGAGAACCTGAATCCTTCTGGAAGATCACAGTTGTTGATAAAGACGGAGAAGTACGTATTTACTCAATACCTTAGGTAGTTATTTGAAATTCACTTGTACGTTATTTACTAAATTTATTAATACGATATTTACTTGAAACACGTCCTTGTCTACTTGTGTTGAAAATAACGCAACAAATTTCTGTTCTACTGAATGGCTACCTTTTGACCTAACTGATGCTGTGGCCGTATTGAATATCAGACTTTTTAAGATCTATTACTTTCAATGTTTATACGTATGTTACAGTGGGCCTAAGAAACACTTTTTTATATTTCTATTATTATACTCCTGGAAAACTGCCCATCGGCCAGTGAAGCAAAATGAAATGAAATATTTTCAAATCAAATTATACATTCCGTTCGCGCATCGCAATCATAATTTTGAAACAAAATTTTGCTGTTTTTGTCATTTTTTATTATTATTAGTAAGCTTATTACTATCGAAATGCAATTGTTTCTAATGGGAACTTTGTGGGCATGTAAATGTTAAGTTGCTTTATTTCACGCCGGGAAATAATGTTATGAAGCTTACTTCACGGCACCATTGTTAAATAAGAAACTACTTGCCGTGAGAGGTTTCTACTTCCTCTTAGGGAGGAAACTAAACTCTTAAGAATTTTCCAACTACCAAACTTTTAGTGATCGTATAGTGAAACGGTAAAGCATTTTTGCGTTGTGAAAAAAATGTATCCCGGGACCGCGCCGTGAGAGGATCGAAAACATAAGAAAAACATATACAAGATATATAGGAAAAACATATTAAATATATAAAGAAAACATACTTTAATAGGTTTCCAGATTAAATATCAGTTTATTCAATTTCATCACAAAAAAAAAATAAAATAAAATCTTAACCTCATCAGAGAGTCTAAGGGGAATTCTTCAATTTGTCATTTACTTTTTTTTTTCTCATTTACATTTAAATTCATATAAAAAACTTTAAGGTTTGTCTTGGTAATTTAAAAGGGGAAAGGGAAACAATTGATAGCCTGAGAATTAATTTTGAGATTCGACGTTGTTTTTACATTCTAAGGACGTTTTTGAAAAACTTACTTAAAGTTCAAACACACACAAAAAAAATAAAACTTATCTTGTGTAGACATCTTGAAGTGGAGGACTCGTATCCTAATAAGCGTTGACGTCGACGGGGCTCATCTTTACGGTCACAAAATGGAAGTTTCAGAAGACATCATCCTGTCCGGGCACTATTTGCGAAAACACACACACGCAGGTAACTGGTTTTCATAATGACGAAGCTAATTTTTTAAGTCTATAAAACAGAAACAGGAGCACTGCTGCCCAGGACGGCTATCCGCTTGGTCTTGAAAGTCTTAAGTCAACACGCAGATAACTGGTTCAAATTTCGCCTTTTTACCAGAACGCGGCAAAGGAGCATGTTTGCAGCTTCCGGCCAGAAACGTTTTTCTAGGCAATTACGGCTCGCCTGTTCTTGCTCATCCCAAGAGCAAGCTTCACGAGTAACGTCCAACGTAAGTTTCACACGCCAGTCAGTAAGAGAGTGAGTAAGTCCTTCCAACTCAAATTTCCTTCGTCTCCTTCACAAAACGCGGGCTCCCACTATGGCTTCACTTATCGCCCCTTAATTTTGGCAAAATTTTTGTTTTCAACCCCTGAATGCGGAAATAAGGGTGATCGCGCATGCGCGCCCTTCTTCACTTAGCCAACAACCGGACCCTCAATCGTCAAAAACCTGAATGACTTACATTGAAAGACAAGTAGCAACCTTTGACCTTTCTGTCACGTACTTCCTCTCTTAAGGTCAACTAACAATGAAATTCCTTCTAGAACATTCTAAAGGACCAAGCGCGCGAAATCATGACTTGGCAAAAATGGCTTCCCTTTCCCTGCTTCTTTCACAATGAATCAAAGCTTGTACAAAATTTGCAAATAAAAGAAAATAAATAATATTCATTTAAACTAAATAATATTCCCAGAAGCATCTGTTTTCCCCAAAATTAAAGCCTTAAAATAAATAATTCAGAATCAAATAAAATTAAAATTCCCATAAATCAGAAAATCATTCACCTAGTTTTTATAACGCTATCAGAAAAATTCTCTACACAACATAAAACAGGAAAAAAGTTTAAAACCCATAATTTCAAATTATTTACTGATTGCGCAAAAAGCTCAAGATACGCAGTTTCTTGCAAAAATAGCAACATTTCGTAATTTCTAATCCTTTTATTTTTTCCCTTTTAAGTAAAGAAATGGTGAATATATTTATTTAGTACTTTAAAATTAGCTTTTGGGAAACCCCAAGGCATAGTACATGTTGATAGGAGGGTGGTCGTTATTAAGCCGTCTCTTGTGTCAGTGCCACACACCCTTTTAGATGCTTCGGTCACAAGTTTGATACACTATCGTCGGGTCTGGGTGGGACAAAGGATGCTTTGGAAATCCAGTTGCAGCGATGTGCTAGAATTTAATTGATTCCGATGTCCTCATACGTAAAGTTAATCATAGAAGAGCAGAGATATTGCAACTATGTAGTTACAACTATGTAACTTACAATTCTGATGTAGTCTGTGGCTTCACAGTTGAGTTTTGGCTTGGTAAAGTTTCGAACAGTCTTGGAAAATGATCGAGCTTTAAACAATCGACGCAGTGCTAGTTTTCTGGTCTGCCATTTTTCATCTAGAATAATTGCAAGGTTTTTTTTTTTTTTTCTATGAGAAAAGAAAGCATTTCCCTGAATTACGGGAAAAATGACTTGCAATAAATTTTGAGTTAGATATCATGATGTTCTTATGGCTTTAAAAACTATCTTTGGACCGTCTGTGAAATTTTGGAGAACCAGAGAAGTGTGTAACAACTCAAAATTATATATCTCGTCTTCTAATTTCATCAGTACACTTTCTAAACGCGGAAAAAATCTGATAACTCTATTTGCTATCATCTTGAATGTGAAAGCGGACAAGGATTATTAAATCTTCTAAAACTATACCTGACTTATATGGCAGTAGAAATATCAAATAAGTATAATTGATCTTTTCTCAATACTTTGCTGTTAACTTCAGGAGTATAGAATTCAGCACTTTAAAAGCGAACCTCTGGAAGTTTTACTCAGTCACCGAGTTTTTTTTCGATTGGTACACTGAAAGATTTGGGTCCTGTGGCAACATCACTCAAGTAGTTATATAAGTTATGGAACAAGAGTATAGGAGATGCTGATGGAAAATTGTGGTAGAAGCTATATATTTATCAAGTCCTGCAGAGGAAGAAACATAGCCTATATATGTTGGTCCTAGTTTTTTATGAGGGTGTCCTCGTTGTCAGTTTTTGTAAAATGATTTGAATTATTTTTTTAATTACCCTCGTGTCGTCATTTCTACAGCCAAATTATAGACCAAACAGTGTTTTCTTAATAGATTGACTCCAGAAATTATTTCTGTTAGTACGAGTATTCCCTTTTCTTAGTTTGGTTTTGTCAACGACGTGGGAATTCTCTCAATCAGTTATCGCGTTCATAGTCACCCTTTAAACGGTTTGCAGAAAAAGTAACGAAATATCATTATTTGTTAAAAAATTGTGCTTTTTCAACTTTTTCCGGAAACAATGAATAAATTAAACTTACAGTTAACGTTTTCGGGTTCTTTCATGTCTCTTCACATCAGGACCTACAACGTTTCGATAGCAAAGTTTAGTGACTATAAGAAATTGACGAAAAACATCAAAATTATTTCACCATTTTTCAAAATTTGGAGTGCGATGAGCGACCAGAAGATATAATTTTATTTGATTTTTTTTTCAGTTTGCTTAGCTAGAAGATAGGCAACTTCTCCGGAATACAGAGAAAGAAATTTAAAAAGTGTGTTTTTTCGGCCACCCTATTGTATATGGTTTAGAGTACAATGAGTTTGTTGATGACTTATTTTGTTTGCTAATAAATTTCGTAAGCTGAGAAGCAATAGGAATTAACTTTTATACCTCGAGTGTATTTTATTTTAAAACACACTTCAGATATTGTTTACGCAATATATGAGAAACAGGTATTATCAGACATAGAATTTTAATCAGATAATGTCTTACTTTACAAGATATGCTGAGTTCAATCGAAATTAATAGCTAAATGCTACTTCTAGTGACAAAACTAATGATAATTAAGATAACTAATAGTATTAAATAAGCACGTTTCCTTCTGTATTAGGTAAGAATGCTACTAGAAGAAAATTGTAAACCAATATAACTTTCTACTTTCACATTTGAATAATTAATAATGAAATCAAAAACTACCATCCTTAGATTCTATCGTGTACTGTAACTACTTAATTATTTATTTCTGCTATTAGTAATCAGAGGCAGAATATAACAATACTAAGTAGCCAATGAAAATAGATGGAAAAATAACACTTTTGTGACTAATAATTGATATATTTGAGAGACAGTAACTAGAAATATTTATGACCTAACCTATCCCAATAAGTTCTAATCGTAAATTTTGATAAAAGTTTTCAAACAAATATATTACTTTACTTTAAAACTTATACATTAAGCTTGCCAAAACTACTTTTAACTTGTCTCTCCAGTCGTTACAAGCAAAATTCTGGCTGTTCTTGTTCTATGCCGTAAACCGAAAGTTTTTTTTTAAAACCTTGAAGTTGATGTCTTAAAGGTACACTAAATAACTTTAAAAATGACAATTTTTCCTTTGAACTTTTGATGATGTTCAAAATATGATTTTGTACTTTTCTATTTGTTATGAAGTGCTCGAGAACAAGATTAGTTTTGCAGTTTATTTACATACTTAGCAACAGTTCTTTTCCTTCTGTGTATGCTTACATTACATTTGATTTTTTTAAAATTTTTAACTTTCCACAGATTATCAGGAAATATTGGGAATGAAAGGAACTAAAAGTTTATGGAACTAAATGGAAACAGAAAAATTTCTGAAAATATATCTAATGCATGTATTCAAGCAGATATATTTCATAAACATTTTAATTTATCACTTCGATTTCAGTTTATTTAATTCCTTATATAGTAATAAATAT